CAAGATGCAGAAAAATGATCTTGCTGTAGGTTACACACAGGTAGTCCCTGGCAAGGCCAGGTTTCTGGCAGAGGCCCTTTGACTACAAATTCATCACTTCTACAATAACAACTCATAGTTCTGTGAACTAGGTGAATACAGGTATTATTTCTTTTTTAAAAGGGGAAATTGAGGCTCAGAAAAGGAAGGGACTTGCTCAAGGTCACATAACTACCAAGTGTTGAAGCCAGAATTTGAACACAGTGCTGTAATTCCAGCAGTCTTTCCACTATGATACTTTGTAAATTTTCATAAGCTATGTAAATATGGTTTATTCAGATGAACCAGATTCATTCTTGGTGGTTTATCAATAATATATCTCAACAGCTTTGCACCCACCCAGAATTTGGCTCTTGTCAAGGTCTCCACAAAAAAAGAAAAGGAAAAGAAAAGGCCTTCATGACCCTCAGGCTAACAATACATCATAAAGAGGACACAGATCTAGTTTAATCCAACAAAAATAAAAAAATTCAGACTTGCACCAGATCCCATAAAGAGTCAAGACAACTACTCTTTCTCCTGTGGACCTCCACCCTTCTCCAAGGAGCCATACAGTTCTCCCAACTTAAGAGTACTACCAGAGGTGACAGACCCACAAAGGAAGAACTCGTGGTTGCTAGAAGGGTCCTGCCTCCCTCCTTTCCCTTAAGGGAACAGCATTCATGGTTGTCAAGAGCCAAGCACCCCTCACCTGTGCTAACTCCCTACTTAGCTTAGAGACTTATATGTTCCAGATCAGTAGCAGTACCCTAGGGTTGGGGGCCCCTCCCATCAGTAAAAGAACTCAAAGTCCCTAGATAGTTAACTCCTCACTTACCCTGCATCTCAATGTGGGAGGGGAATAGAGGTCAGCAAGTCTGGGTTCCTACTCCAAACAAAAGCACAGGGAGGAATTCTCCAGTAGGAAAAAAGGCCTGGAATGGAAGAGGTGTATGGTCCGGGGTGAGAAATGTAATATACCAAGTAATTTGGTGGGGAGGGCACTAGCATTTGGGGAATCAGGAAAGTCCTCATGCAGAGATCCTTGACTTCCATCTTCACAAAAGAAGTGAATTCTACCAGGCAGGGGAAAGAAAAAGTGCATTCCAGGCATGGAGGATTGCCAGTAAGAAGGTATAGAGCTGGGGGGTGGAGTGTTTTTGGCCAGTTTGGCTGGATCAAGAGTGCAAGCAAGTTATATCTAATGAGACTGGAAAGATGCATTGGGCCCAGGTTGTCTAGGGCTTTAAAAGCTAAACAGTGATGTGTATTTTATCCCAGAGGCAATAGGAATCTTCTAGAGTTGATTGACTAAGGGGATGACACAGATCTGAGCTTAAGGGAAATGATTTTGGCAGCAATGTGTAGGATAAACAGGAGCACATCAAGTCCAGAGACCTGAGGCAAGGAGAACAATTAGGAGGCTATTGTGGTCATTTGTGCAAGAGTTGAGAGTCTGAACTACAGTGGTAACTGTGATTGGGGTCAGATAGGAAAGATGTTGCGAAGGTAGAAACAGCAAGATTGACAATTTGGATGTGTGAGATGAGGGAAAATGTAGAGTCCTAGAAAATGCTGTGGTGAACCTGGAAGACTAGAAGGATAGCGATACCTTGGACAGAAATTGGAAAGTTTGGAAGACAGGAGAATTTGCAGGAAAAGGTAATGAGTTCAGGGCTGAATTTGTTGAGTTTAAGCTATCTCAGGGGCATTATTCTGAAATGTCTAATAGCTAATTTGTGATGCAGGACTGAAGCTCAGAAGAGAGACTGGGACTAGATGTGTAGATCTGTGTCATCTGCATAGAAATATTTAAACCCTTGGGAGCTGATGGGCAATAGAGGGTGGCCACCTTTTAAGAGCAGTATTACAAGTGTGCCTTTAGTCACAGCATCAGAAAGAGGAGTGTTGGGAAAAGAGTAACTCTCCAAGTGGGGCTCCTATGGGATTTCCAATTGGAACATGTTCCCCTCAGTCATAACCAAGACAGGAAGCTCAAAAGAGCCATCATTAGAGGCAAAGTCAGGGAAACTCTAGAGTGCCAGGAATGTACTACACACAAGTCAAAGGTTCATAGGTTCTTCTAAGTAATTTTAAAGATTGAAGTAATTTTAGAGATTAAATCCAGCCTGCTTTTTAACAGATGAGTAAACTGAGGCCCAAGGTCAAAGAGCTAGTAACAAAAAGTAATGATTCAAAATCAGGTTTTCTGACCTTCAGTCAAATACTCTTTCTACTAGTAGACTATACTGTGGTGTATCATGATACAGAAAATTACAGGCTTTAGGAAATGGATTGGGTATGTCTGCTGAGACAGATTTTCAGAGGGCTCTGGTTTGTGGTGATTTCTGCCCTTAGAAGGGTATTTATGAAATGGCTTGTGATTATGCCACCAGTTAGCAAAAGCAAAATCAAAAAAGAAAACCTCCTGAAAGCCCAGCCCTGAATTTGTAAAGGTCTCTCTAGCTTCCAGAGCTATTCTGTTCCCTCATGCTCCAAACAAAGGGAACGCCAGGAAATATAAAGGCAGGGTCAACCATAGGTGTTAATGAGAAATAAGATTATTCATCAGACTCAGTTTTTAGCAGAATAAAAGAACACAATTTAAACACAGTCCAGTCTCACACAGCTGAAGAAAGGCAAGGGAAGGGAGATAAAGACTACCAGTTCCTCTTTTTCCTCAACCTTGTGGCAACCAAAGTGAGAACCCCAGATTAAAAAACAGAGTCAAAACTCTCCTCTAGTCCCTATAGAGTTCACCTGTCTCTCTTGGAGTCTTAAGTTTAAAGAAGTAACTAATGTTACTACCAAAGGTGGACATGTTTGCACCTCAGTTCTATGTCTCAAGGGAAGACTCCACCCCTCCCCTCTGGAAAACTTTAAAAGTTCCCCCTGTAAGAATGGAAAAAAAACTCACTCTCCATTCTTGTTCTCCCATTAGCTTCCTCTCTTCCCAAGTTAAGAAGAAATACCGACTACCAGGATTGTGAATGCCTTGGGTCCCCTTCTTGGCAGCCAGCCAAAGCCTTAGCCCAGGGCAGTGACACTAGAAGAGAGGCTGGGCTTAGAAAGAAGATTGTGGAGGCAGGGAGAAGTGATGTGATGGGGGGGGTATAAAATATCAGTCAATCAATAAGCATTTATTGAGTGTTTACTGTGCTCAGCACTGAGGATACAAAAGTAGACAGGAAAGACTTCATGAAGAAGGTGGCCCTTGCACTGAATCTTGAAGGAAATCATGGTTTATTTCCTAGAAACAAAAGTGAGGAGGGAGTACATTCCAGGCACGGAAGACAGGAAAATGAAGAGGAGGAGTTGTCAGACAGGTAAGAGAAGAACCAGGATCGAGGGTTATCCGAAAAAGCCATAGAGGAGAGAGTATCCATGAAGAGAGGGCAGTAAAAAGTGTCGGATACAGCTGAGAGGTCAAGCAGGATGAAGACTTGAGATCTGGCATTAGGAGATCCTTATTCACTTTGTGGAGAGCAGTTTCAGTGAAGTGGTGAGGTTAGAAGCCAGATTAGAAAGGGGTGGAGGCACCAAATGTAGGCAGCTTTTGCAAGGACTTTGGCTGAAGAAAGAAGAGGCGTAAGGTAATAGAGGGAGATGAAATGATCTTTGTTGTTCAGTCGAGTTAGTTATGCCCAACTCCTAGTCACCCCGTGGACTGTACTTTTCATGGGGTTTTTTTGGGCAAAGATACTGGAATGTTTGCCATTTCCTTCTCCAGGGGATTAAAGCAAACAGAAATTAAGTGACTTGCCATGGATCACACATGTAGTAAATATCAGGCCACATGTGAACTCAGGTCTTCCTGACCCGAGGCCTAGTGCTGTATACACTGAGCCATCTAGCTTCAAGAGAGGATACACACACACACACACACACACAGATGCGCACACATGCGCACAGCGGGGCAGGAACTAGTAGGGAAATTGGAGATTAGAGATGAGGATATAGTGGAAGTGATTTGCTGGAGAAGGGAGAAAATGTTACTAAGGATGCTTATAAAAGAGTCGGTCTTGGTGAGAAGTTTCTTACCAGAAACTAGAGCAAAGGAGAAAATGATATAATGAAAAAAGCTCAAGATAAGGAATCAGAAGACCTGGAGTCCTAGCTCTGCCACTAGCTATATAACCATGCACAAAGTTTCTGCCCCTCTGGGCCTCAGTTTCTTCATCTGTAAAAGATCATATGATCATAGACTGGCACCTAAGAGATCATCTAGTTCAAACACCTTAGTGAGGCTTATGAACTAAATAATTGTTCCCTACTAGTTAAGACTTACGTTTTCTGTTATCTATGATGTGTGTGGTAGGGGAGGGTGGGGCAGGGAGGGCGAGGAGGCCAAAGGGAGGAAGGGTACAATAGACATTCCAGAAGATCAGAGGCCCATGGTGCCATGGTGGAACGTATCAGGAATCTGGGACCCCAGGACCCAGAAATCACCACTTCCCCAGGGAGTGAAAAAGATTTGGTCACACTCAGAGGATCATAGATTTGCAGTTAGAAGGCACCTCTTAGGTCCTCTACTCTGCCTGCCACATTTAATAAATGCCAAATGACTATACCCCCCACCCACCTCCGTTTTATAAAGGAGGAAATTCAGGCCCAGAGAGCTTAATATTGAAACACCATTAATTTCTAAGAACCAAATTAAAGAGCAACGAGATTAATTGAGTGACACATGACAGGTGTAAACAGGCTTCAGAATATTCCCAACAGAGACTAGCCCAAGTCACGGTGCAAACTAAGGTCCTTGGGCTTCAAGTAAGAGTAACAAAGACTTGTCTCCCCTGCACCATGCTCCACGGCCCTTGTCCCCTCCTTCCCTCCTCCTCCCCGGAACCCCAGACTAACGGGTGTCAGCTGCCGGGAGACCAGTGTTCCCAAAACGCCGCACCCCGCCCCCGTCCGTGACCGGCCGTAACTTCCGGCTCGGGAGGCCGAGCCTCATCGGACTCGGGTCGGGCACAGGGAGGATGTTGGCGGTGAGCGCCCGCCTCAGGCTGCGAGCGGGGGCCCTGCCCTTGGCCCTTTCTCGCGGGGTCGGGGCTCGGGCGGCCAGCGGCGAGGGCCCCTCCTACACCCAGGGCCAGAGCCCCGACCCGAAGACCCGCGAGTATTTCTACTACGTTAACCATCAAGGGCAGGTGAGCGGGCGGGGAAGGAGGGGGGAGGAGGGAGGGGAATGGTGGCGAAGGGGGAGGAGCTAAGGAGGGAGGGGCCGGGCCGAAGTGCAGAGTGTGTGTGTGTGTGTGTCTGTCTGTCTGTACGTACACACACTTGCATGACACCCATTCCCGTGTGTCCTGGATGGAAGCATTCGTTACTTACACAGATGTGTGCATTACAGCTCCCTGCAGATGCTCATAAACCAGTTGCTCATACAGTTCAGTTTCACCCACGCTTATCGAGCACCAGAGATCTGTGCTTACCAAATGCCTTCTCTGTCTGCAAGGTTGTCGCTGGCAGGGTCAGTCCTCCAGAATATGACAGGGTCTTCTCAAGGAAACCCATGAAAAAGAGATCAGCCTAACAACCTGTCCTAGAATCACCAAATGGTAATAAAATGACTTGTTCAGACTATGACCTGCGATTAGCTCTGAGTTAGCCCATCATCCCATATATCTTGGACAGGTGCTATAGAGCTAGATCCAGAATTACATAATAGTATGAGAATGGATTGAGTTGCATTTGGGAAATGCATATGGAACTTGTAATGGTTTCAAGTTGCTTCCTCCCGCACATAAAACCATCTTTTTAACACCAGGGTTCTCCGTATGATTGAGAATCTTGGAACACCAAAATTTCTGAAGAATCAAAGAGCAATGAGATTAATTGACACAGAGTAGCACATGACACATGTAAGTACGCTTCAGAATATTCCCAACAGGATCTATGTACAAGAAATGGTATAAAGGGATGACATCCAAGAAAAGAGAAATGTGTCATTAGCAAAAGGAGATAGGATGATCATGTCTCAATAATGAGAGATAACAGAGAGTACCCATAAAATATCAAAACATCTATAGGAAAGTGTCCACTACCTAGGATGGCTCCCCTATGGAGGATCTCTCGGTATACACACACACACACACACACACACACACACACACACACACACACACAAAATGACTGGATGAGAAGGTGCAGGTGTGTTGTAATCTGCATCAGGGGACAGAATACCACATAAACATGATCATGGAGCTCCTTGAAATATTCATCTGCTAGTCCATAGGCACTGGAGATGAAAATATAAAAATGCTATCCTGCCTCCATGGGGCATGAGCAGCAAGGCCTGAAAAGGCAATAAAATAGTATTGCAAAAACCAAGGGGATACAGGCACATTTACACACAAATACTAAGACATGAATGTATGCTTGGCTAAATCATGCTTACCCATGCACAATGCACACCCTCCTGGATCACCACCACCCTGTCTCCCTAGGATGGGAGGGGTCCAGCTCTTATCCCTCTCTTTGTCTCTCTCTTCCCTGCCCATGTCCTGCAGCTTTTCCTGGATGATGCTAAAGTGAAGAATTTCATCACCTGCTTCAAAGGTACTACCTACCTGCTCCCAGCCCTCCCTGAGCCCAAGCTTATACATCAGGACACTGACATCCAGCTAGCCCATAAGTGAGCCCAGGTCCCTTCCCAGGACTTCTGCTCCCTTTGCTGCTCCTTTTCTCTTCTCCTGATGAGTAGTGAGCTCCCCAACTATCAGCATTAATGAATGCTAGACCTGGTCTTGTCAGGGTCTCTTCCAAGGGAGATGAATCTCAGGAAACTTGCCTCCCTCATTCCCGCCCCTCCCTGGCCTTGTGTTTGCCTGAAATGGGAGAATTAATTACATTGGCTACCTGAGAGCATCCCCTGCCTGAGAAGGAATTGTATAGGGAAAAGACCGCGCATGACTGACCATGATAGGTTTTAGAGCTTTAAGGAACCTTGGCTCTTGTAGTCCAAACACCTCATTTTACAGAGGAGAAAATTGAGGTTCTGAAGGGTTAAGTGCCTTGCCCAAAGTTACACATGTTACACGAGAGACAGAATTCAAATCCAGGTCCTCTACATCCAGATTTCCTCTACAGCACATAGGCTGTCCTTTGGGCAGCACAGGCTTCAGTAATAATGGGGATCTCTCCCAGTATCCAAAAGCCTTCCCCAGGCCCCTTGTCCCTCCCTTTCCTCCATCACCACCCCACCCCAAGACTCAGCCATATGGTCTCGGATGTGTCTCTTCCCCACCCTGGGCTTTAGTTTCAACAAACGTAAGATAAGGGGGTAGGACTAGATCATCAGTATTTTTTGATTTTGTGACTGTCTCTCTGCCATTTGGGGGATTTCTAATCCGTACATCCTCTACCCTGCAGACCGGAAGTTCCTGGTCTTCTTCTTCTCCCGCCTGAGGAAGAACCAAAGTGGTCGATATGAAGATACCTTTCCCTTTGTCTCACATTGTGGCAATGAACGCAACTTTGTGCGCTGTGACGACCTGCCTGTGGTCTTCACACACCTGCTGGCAGATGGCCTAGGGCCAGCTCGCCTCTCCTATAGTGGAGGGGGGGAGGCCCTGGCTGTACCCTTTGAACCTGCTCGACTGCTGCCCCTTCCCGCCAACGGACGACTCTATCATCCAGCACCCAAGCTGGCTGGTGGTGTGGGGCTGATCCGCTCCTCCCTGGCCTTTGAGCTCAGCACCTGCTTCCAGTATCCACCAGGAGGGGCCATACTGCCCACCCATATCTTGTGGCAAGGCCAGAAATACCCCCTAACCATGGACCTTGCATCCCTATTTCCTGAATCCTGTGAGCCCTGAATCATTGTACCCCTTTCTTCACCTGTTGTCTGAATTGCTTGCTCTGCCCCAGGGATGTGGACATCAAGAAGATGTAGGTTCAAACTACAGCAGATAGTAATCCTCAGGGATATGACCCTCCTAAGGCCTGGAGGTTGCTGGTGCTGGGAAGGGCAATGGGAGGAGAGCCTTAGCAAAGAGAGGTTCTGGAGCTAAAGGTTCCTTAACAAGGATTAAGAGAAAGACCTTCTTATGATATGCTTATTGCCTTTTTGTGACTGAGGCTGGTAAAGTTCACTAATAAACAAGGGAAAGGGGGGCAGGGTAGGGTAGAAAAGTTAGAACAAGGGAATTCTCCCAGCATTGGGGAGTTGTGAGATGTAAGGCTGAAGAGTCCTGCTGCTGCACTATGCCAGGGAACTGAGAGAAGGGTTGAATGGCAAGGCCGTAAAGGAAAGTGCCTTCTTCCCCACCTGTCCTCATGTAATCACCACGGGCCTCTCCCACAGCTTCCTGAAGGTGGTGGCATCTCGGGCTCCACACTTTAGACACTTGAATTCTGTTTAATGAAGAAACATTGTGACTACTACATGCTAAGTCCTGTTCTTTTTTTTTTTTTCTGTGAGGCAGTTGGGGTTAAGTGACTTGCCTAGGGTCACACAGCTACTAAGTGTCAAGTGTCTGGTCTGAGACCAGATTTGAACTCAGGTCCTCCTGAATCCAGGGTCAGTGCTCTATCCACTGCACCACCTAGCTGCCCCAAGTCCTGTTCTGAGTACTAAAGATGCAAACATTAAAAAGAATGACAGCTTTCCTCTCATGGAGCTTACTAATCAACATTAAGTCTCTCCTGATTACCCCAATGCCCTCCCTCCTTCCCCAAAACACTGATTGCTGTGCCAGGCATTTTTGCCATGTGCTAGGGATGCAAAGACAATACTGAAATAGTCCCTGCCCTCAAGGAGCAGTGGGAAAGACATGTATATACATTTATAAGTATAGTCAGAATACATATGAAATAAATACAAAGTAGTTTTGGGAGGAATGGTTGTGTGAATAAAAGGAAGATACTGTATCCAAGATATGTTGTGGAACTAGAAATTACATGATTTGGCAGTCAATTGAGTACATAGCCTGAGGTTACATACCTCAGTAATTGGAAGAATGATGGTGCCATTGATAGAAATCAGAAATGAGGAAAAGGAGTGGAGAGACTTGGGCTGGATATATCTTTGTAGAGATGATACTTTCTTTTTTTTTTTCTTTTCCTGAGGCAATCGGGGTTAAGTGACTTGCCCAGGGTCACACAGCTAATGAGTATCATGTGTCTGAGGCCAGATTTGAACTCAGGTCCTCCTGACTCCAAGGCTGGAATTCTATCCACTGTGCCACCTAGCTGTCCCAAGATGATACTTGAACCTATGAACCTAATATAATAGCATCTACATAGTACTTGAAAGTTTTGCATATTCTATCTCATTTGATCAGATGAGGACACCAAGTGAAAGTATAGAAAGAAAAGAGAAGGCCCAGGACAATTATGTGGTACACCCACAGTGGCTATGACATAAATGATGATTGTCCAGCCAAGAAGACTGAGTTGTTAGGCAGGTAGGAGAACCGGGAGAGGGCAATGTCCCAAAAGCCCAGAGAGAAGAGAATCCATGAAGAAGAGATGGTAGTAAACTGTCAGATGCAACAGAGGTCAAGAAAAGGTGAGGATTAAGAGGAGGCTCTTAGGTTCGACTCTTTGGTTTAAGGAAGTATTGGTAACTTTGGAGAGCAGTTTTAATTGTGTGATGGTTTAGAAGAGACAGGAGAGGAAATTGGGGAAACAAATGATGGGTAGTTTTGAAGAGTTTGGTTGAGAAAAGGAGAGGAATGCAGCAGGGAGAGTGGGATCTAGTAAGGGATTTTTGAGAATGGGGACTGGGTATATTTATAAATAAAGAACTAGTAGGGAGTGATTGAAGATGGGGGGGATGAAAGTGGGGGACAGTTTTCTGCAGAAAATAGGAAGGAATGGTATCAATGTTACCTGTGGAAGTCTTGGTCTTAATATGAAAAAGGACCAGCTCTTCATCAGAGATTGAAGTAAAGCAAGAAATATCAGAAGGTGTTTCCAAGTGGTTGTGAGAATAGGGTGCTTGAGACAAACAGCTGTTTTTTTAGAAGGGAAGGAATGTAAATTCTAAGGTGAGGACTTTAGCTGAGAGGGTGAAGGAATGACATGGTGTGGGAAATGAGGGAAATAGAGAAGAGGTTTAGGACAGTTGTTATGGAGAGTGGGGTAGCAAATTGGGAAGGAGTGATTTTTGCCTTGTTATGTATGAGCCCAGTTGAGATTAAATAACAAAGTTGTCTATGATGGAAGTAATCCACAGTTGGGGTTTATCTGGGTGTGAGAAAGCGAGGGGAGACAGGATTTGAGAGTGGAAGACACTATAGAATTAAGCTGGTTGTATAGATACCTAAGCCCACAGCTAGTCTAGCAGAAACTCATTCACCCATATGCATATCAATATGATATCAATATCAATATAGCTCCTTTCAGGGCTGTGAGTTCTGTCATAATATACACATGCATACCCCTCTGTACACTTTCCATCAGCATATGAGAACAACAGCTCTTGCTTATTTGGCATTTTCCTCACAATCGATAAACCCTGGTGAGAGGAAATACAAATATTAGTTGCTCCAGTATTTCAAGGATCTATTCACTAATGCTTTTTTAATGGGAGATTTTTGGGGAAAGAACTATGGCTATTGGAATATTCAGACTGCTAGAGTCAGTCATCTAGTTGGTCCTCCTGTCACCAAGAGAGATTGCATTCATTTCCACATCTCAGTAAATGGTTCTTCATAATTTGCCAAGATCAAAAAATTCATCCCTCAGTGGCCAACTATCTAATGAACTTCAGCACACAGACTGGTGCTCAAAGAGCAGGCACATAGTTCGATCACCACAACTGTACTCAGAGTCTTTCTAGCTTATCAAAACTTTCCAGAATTTGTACACCTCTGGCAGAGAATCTGGTCACCTTCATGCCATGAGGAGTCATAGGAGGAGGGCTTTAGGGGAAGTATGAAAATATTTTCCTCATTTTACAGATGAGGAAACAAAGAATCTTGGAGGAAAGTAACTTACAGCCTTATAACTCCTAAGGGCTTGACTCTCAAGTCCATTGTTTTTTTCACCACACCAGAGTGCCTCTTAAAACACTAATTTATATAGCACTTTACAGTTTACAGAGCACTAGTTTAGTGGGGAAAGCCTTAGAAACAGAGGTAGAACTCCATACAGAAGGACAAGAAGATGGTACAATTAATTTTTTTTTCAATCCAACAAACTAAATAACTGCTATGAGCAAGACTAGGTGCTAGGGATACAAATATGAAAACCAGCCCATGGCTTTGTAGACCTTACAATCAACTGATATGTGTATATTACCAAGGAAACCCAGTAAGAAGAAATAAATTCCATTTAAGATAACTACTGGGAGTCTACCTACCAAGACACATAAAAACTATATAAATACAATTACAAAGTACTATTTGTAGAAATAAATACTAAATAATTGGAGAAATATTAGTTGTTCATGAGTAGTCATAATAAAAATGACAATAATACTTAAATTAATTTACTTAATGCCATCAGTCAAGCTGTCAAAGGCTACTTTATAGAGCTAGGAAAAAATCACAATTCATCTGGAAGAACAAAAAGTCAAGAATCTCAAGGGAAATTATGGAAAAGAAAAAAAGTGGGAAAGAAGCTAGCTGTACCAGATCCCAAAATATACTATACAGCAGTAATTCTCAAAATGATTTAGTATTCACCAATAAATTAATCAGTGAAGTTGATTAGATTCACAACAAAGGGAAGCAAATGAATACAGTCCATAGGGTTTCATAAACCTAAGGACCCCAATTCCTGAGCCAAGGGTTCACTATTCAACAAAAAATTGTTGGAAAAAATGAAATATAGTCTGGCAGGAACTAGGATAGACCAACATTTCACAAGATAAGCTCAAAATGGGTATGTGACTTAGACATAAAGGGTGACATAAATCAGTGGAGCAAGGATCTATGAATAGGAAGTTAACTGACCCAACAAGGGATAGAAAGGATGGAGAAAATAAGATTGACAGTTATTTAGAAGTTTTTGTGCAACCATTGCACCTAAAATTAAAAAGGAAGCAGGTAACTGGGATGAAGCTATGAAATAGTTTAACTATTTTAGAAAGCAATTTGGAACTATGCTTGAAAAGTCACTAACCCGAATACCCCTTGACCCAGAAATATCAATGCTAGGTCCAATACCCCAAAGAAATCAAAGAAAGAGGAAAAAGACTTTTTTGTTACAAAAACATAGCAGTTCTTTTTGTGGCAACTGGAGACTAAGGGGGTGCCTATCAATTGAGAAATGGCTCAATAAATTATGGTATATGAATGTGATGGAATTGCACAACAAGAAATTATGAAAGGGGTAGTTTCAGTGAAACCTAGGCCAACTTGCATGATCTGATGCAGTGAGCAGAATGAACAGTTTACACATTAACTGTAAAATGAAACAACTTTGAAAGACTTAAGAGCTCTGATCAATGCAATGACCAGCCATTATTCCAAAGCTTGCTACCAATCTCCTGACTGAGAGGTAATGGACTCAGGATATAGAATGAGACAGGTTTGTTTGTTTGTTTGTTTTTTAAATGTGGTCAATGTGGGAATTTGGTTGGGTTTTTTTGACTGAATAGTAATCACAAGGGTTCTTTTTTCTAATGGGAGGAAGAAATGGGAAAGATAGATTTTTGTTAATAGAAAAAAATAAATTTTATTTTGAAAATCTGCTGATTCAGTAGAAAGAGTGCTGGATGTGAAATCAAAAGATCTGGTTTCAAATCCTGGCTCTGCTATTTCCTATCTCTGTGACATTGGACAAGTTATTCAGCCTCTTTGGGTCTCAGTTTCCAATCTTTAAAATAAGGAAGTTAGACCTAATAATCTCCAAGGTCTCTTCCAGCTCCAAATCTATATTTCTATGACCTGGATTCTAGTCTCAGTTCTGTCACTAGCTATATGACCTTGGGGCAAGTGACTTGCCATCTCTAAGCCTCAGTTCCCTCATCTGTAAAATGTGAAAAAATAATATTTGTTCTACTTGCCATATAGAACTGTTGTGAAGAAAGTTCTTTGTAAACATAAAAATGCTTTTATTCTTCACAACAATCTTTGCAGGAGGCAGTGTATGCACTATGGGCACATTTGTAGCCTTATTTTTGTATCTGCACATCTGTGTAAATGCATGTATCCAAACATGTATACACTGTTTTATGTAGCCGCATAAGTGTTTCTCTACATATCTTTTACAATAGTTGGATCATTGGATCACATCTATGGAGGTAGCCTCTGCATGTTTCCTCTCTTTTTCCTCCTCCCTCTGAATTTTTTGTCAAGCTTTGACAGTGAGATCTACAGAGGAGAAGGGAGGCCCCCAAAATCCAAGACCCATCGGTCCCATTTCCTGAGACACTCATTTCTCCCCAACACTCAATTCAACTTCACACACTTTAGTAGTGGTCGTCATGCTCC